AAAATTATTGACGCGCAACACGACGCGCCGGGCCTGGAAGACCACCTTCAAGCTCATGAAGGGCCGCGTCGAGCGCGTGGCCATGCTGGGCGTCCCGGGCATCGGCAAGAGCCGCAATTTGGCGCTGGGCCTCTGGCACGGGGTGACGGGCAATCTGCCAGAAGGGTTCCGGCAGCCCGAGGCCATCGTCTACGAAGCCCGGGAGGGTGGCAGGGTCTTCCTGTTCACCAAGGACTCGGATGACCAGTGGAAGGCACAGCGCCTGCCGATGAGTGAATGGGCAGCTGACGCCTGCAAGCACCTGGAGAACCCCAACAACTGGTATTTAGTGGATGCTTCCGAGACAACCACCACCCTGAAGTTGACTGCCAAGACATGGCTCGCCTGCAGCCCAGAACGGGACCACTACTCGAAATTTGTCAAAGACGGCGGCTGCTGCGTCTATATTGAATCGTGGTCGAAATCTGAGCTTCAAGCGGCATTCGGTCCCATTCAAAACGTGGATGGCTGCGACATGCTTCTGAAAAGGTACGACAAGATCGGAGGAAACCTGCGGGCCCTTTTGTCAGCGGAACCCGATTTCGATAAGTATGTGAACGACCAGGAATCTGAGGCCGAAAATTGGCAGCACTTGCAGCCTGCTTTCAAGGGCAGCTTGGACAACCAAGGCAAGAAGCTTCTCACCCGCCTCTTCACCTATATACGTCAGCAAGGACGCACGCGAGTACGAGGTTGATTTCTGCTGCGCCGGCGCTGCCGCGCTGGTTGCGAACGCGCACTATGACAAGCTGGTGGTTCTCTGGAGCAAGCAAGATGAGCCCGCGAGGTACTGGTTCCAAAAGTTTGTTGGACCGCTGTTGACCTTCTCGTGGTTTCAAAAGAAGTTTGCAGCCTGGACTATCACCAATCAGGGCACCGCTGACCGTGCTTCCTGGCAACTGAAAAGGGGCGACGACTTGATGATCGCAGAGAACTTGCAGTTAGTGGAGTGCGATTCCGTAGCCCTTTTTGAGGAGAGATGGTTGAATGCAGTGAAGCAAGGAACCCTATCGCAACAGGTTTTGAGTAGCCCAGCCGGTTACCCGGGCATCGACTACCTGCNNGTTCAACCACGGCATCCAGGTGACCACATCCAAAACGCACAGCGTTGCACAGGAATTTCGCGAGATCTTGAAGAAGATGTTCAATGGAACTCGCCACAGTTTCACTCTCACGTTTCTCATTACAGGAGAGCCGAAGAAATTCACGCCGGCACCAGGCGATTTCAACAAATTCATGAAAATGTCGGGGCTAGGACAGTTGTTTCACAATGTTTGTGTGCAGGTCGTGCAGATTCCGCAGACTCTCAATAGCCTGAGTTGAAAACTATGCTGCGCAGACATCTTGGGCGTGTTTGCAGCACTTGCGGTGGCTTTCGTCTCGCTTCTTTGCATCCTGAAGCTGTCAGGGGGCGGCTCGTTTCGACCCATGGGCCGGAGCCTGGTGTGAAACCCAGGCACAGCAGGGTGTGGTTGTCAGTCGGTGCTTGCAGCAATTCAAGGAGCCTCTGAATGGTTGTTGTCAGCCAGCTGCCATGCTTTTTCAGGTTTGCTGAGGATTGCAA